AGAAAAACTACACTCGGACCAGACAAACTACACCCAGACAAGAAAAAACTACACCCGGACCAGATAAACTACACCAGGACAATAAAAACTACACTCGGACAATATAAACTGCACATGGATCAGAGAAACTGCACCTGGACCATAGAAACTTCACCTGGACCAGAGAAACTACACTTGGACAATAGCAATTATATTGGACCAGAGAAACTACACCAGGACAAGAAAAACTACACCCGGACAAGAGAAACTACACTTGGACCATAGAAACTACACCTGGACAATAGCAATTATATTGGACCAGATAAACTACACCCGGACCAGATAAACTACACTTGGACCATAGAAACTACAGCTGGCCCATAGAAACTACACCTGGACCATAGAAACTACACCTGGACCAGAGAAAATATATGTAGACTGTAGCTATTACAGTATACATAATCACGACTTTAGCTCATTTTCTGGAATTTTGTTTTATAAAACATGCCAATATTCTCATAATTGATCATTTTGAACAAATATCTCACAAACCTCTCTACTGAAATAATCCCTCATCAACATATACCTCAAATATATATTGTACAAAGACAATAGATTGAAAGAGATTCTTTTAAATTCTCAGACTGTAAAAACACATTTCCATATTTTAATTGTGATTAAACTGATCTGAAGACGTAAGACTGATTTAAATCTTCCATGAATATCTGTTTATCCAACCAAATCGGAGCCTTGCTAACAGCAGAGCTGCTGTGACATTTTGTGGATGTTGCACTTGTTGTCACATTTGTTCTACTGAGGGAGGCTGTTGGCAGAGGACCTACCTCCCACGAGATGACCAGTTCGTGCCTGCGGCCGTTTCCTCCACTAACATTTGATGGTGCCACAGCAGGAACTGTGAAAAAAATAATAAATAAAAACTCAGGACAGCATTACTAAACCCACTCAGCAAACCGAAATATTTATTTAATTCCAGGCAACTGAAGATAAAAAATAATGAATTTGGCAGAACATTGAAACCATAGTTAACTTTATCCTCCTGATTAATAATAATAATAAAAAATAATCAAACTGATAACCACAGGGGAGTCCAGCGTTTTATAATGGAACCCTGCAGTTGACATTTGGCTCACATATTGTGAGTTTATGGATGAATTAATTGTGTGTAGATACATTAATTAGTCTGTTAATTGTGCTGAAGAGATGGGGCAGATTTTGATAGCTCTTCTGAAATGACCACCGACCTTTGTAATTATATTTTTAGTGAGGAAATGAGCAGCTAGTGAAGCGGCAGAAGGCATTTACTGTATGGCGATGTGTTGTTGTCTCAGGTTAATAAAAGACTGTCTGCTTTAATGGAAAGAAAATAAATAGGTTTTAGAGTCTTCATTGAATATTTTATTTTTTTCCACAGTTTAAACTGGTTGTATTACAAATTGAAAACAGAACATAGTTGTAAGATCACTGTGTGACATCTTTAACAAACAAATAGTCTCATTTTAGGCTCTTTACCATCAGTCAAAATGTGGCTTGCATGTAGTGCTAATCCGAGGTTTACCTGCTTCTTTGGTCCTAACTTTTCTAGACGGAGCGCTGGGATCTCCCGTCCCGATCGCATTGTTTGCCACCACTCGAAACTCATATTCCACCCAGGGGTTGAGCTCTACTGCCACAGCTGACTCCATGTCCCCAGTCACTGGGTCTGGGTCTGCGAACACAGTGTGGCTTGTCAGTTTATTCAGTTGCAAAGAAAAAAAATACAACATGACTATTTGCAGTTTACATCACGTACTTCATGCAAGAAAAACACTGACATAAGTGCAAACTTTCAGCCGTGAGGGTGTTTGACAGCGTTCCAATTCACACTGTGGAAAGCGCTGAGGAATCAAAGACTTTAAATTACACCCTCACTCGTGGTATAAAAATGTTGCCTAGGCAACCAAGAGTGTAAAGAGGATTTTCTGGCCAAGCATCCAAAAAGTTTTTACTCAACTCAAATGCATCTTAAGAGTCAAATGTGCATCTTTTGACAACATGGAAAAAAAAAAAATGCTTGGGATGGTTTTTTTTCTGACACAAGGAGCCTTAGTTATAACCAGGTTTATTTGTGGTTCCTAGGGTTTCCAAAAGCAGAATGGGAGGAAGAGCTTTCAGTTGCTCCTTTCTTGTGGAACCAACTTCCCGTTTCTGTCTGTGAGGCTGACACATTGTCTACATTTAAGATTAGGCTCAAGTCTTTCCTTTTTGATAAATCCTATAGTTAGGGTTGGCTTGGGTTTCCTGAGCTATACCTTAGTTACGCTGCTATAGGCTTAGACTGCTGGAGGGCAAACTGACAACATTTCTTTGCTCTGCTGCTGTTTTTATTTGTCCTACCCGTTTTGTATTAGTATTTTTTACTATCGTTGACGTGTTTTTGTCTTTCTTCCAATAGAGGGTACATCTGCACCTCCATCTGGACCTGCCTTTCTGTGTTAGTCTGTTTCTCCTTCCTGTCCTCTCAAACCCAGCCGGTCAAAGCAGATGGCTGCTTGTCCTGAGCTCGGTTCTGCTGGAGGTTTCTTCTTGTTAAAACTGAGTTTTTCCTTTCCTCTGTTGCCTTTGTGCTTGCTCAGGAAGGGAGACTGCAACAACGTGAAGGTTCAACGGGTCTGCTGGCTTCTTTAGATAGAGAACTTTACTAACTGGCTTTTGTATGTATTTGAATGTTCAGTGCCCCGAGAAAAGTTCTCTTGTGGTTTGGCACTATATACATCTTATTCAACCTTTATTTCTACAGGTTAATCCCATTGAGCCTCGGTGCCTCATTTACAAGAGAGAGACCAGACTTTTTAACAAAGAGTGATAACAGTGGACAACAACAACAACAATAGGCAATCATAAAAGATGCGTACACTTTTTTTTTTCGTTTTAAGTGAAAATAAAATGGCCACCAAAAGGACAATCAAAAGGAAAAGTAGTGAAAAAGGAGCTAGATGCAAGGCGGTGTAGAATACTAAAAACAGGAACATGTCTGCATTGATTTTTGTCATTATTTGCCAGTAAACTGATTTGAATTTTATTCCTAACCAAGTAGGTCTATTGCCTAAAAACATCCCCAAAATGACAGAAATGTTGCAATAACATCTGTTATTTATGTGTTAATAAACCATAAATAATGTTTTTTTAATATAAATTACGTTAGCGCTAACCTTTTTTTCCTCATATAAAATAAGCACTTTCTTATTTACAAACAAAACTCAACCTTCCATCCATTCATTCTCTTTCTCCGAGTCGCAGGAAGCCTATCTCCAGCCGTGACTGTGCGTGAGGCGGGAGACTCCCTGGACAGGTGGCAAGTCCATCACAGCAAAGCTCAACCATGAGGTAAAATAAGTGTTTCAATAATTGTGGCTTTGAGGTACTGTAGTGCCTAAAAATTACAAGTATGAAAAAAAAAAAAACACCTTTAATTTCCCAGTTTCAAATCTATGTCCCGTTGTTGAAAGTGGTACATGTACCAGAGTCCTAATAGAATCTAATTAACACTGTGACATGATGAAGAAAATGGCTCTTAATGACCTTTTTAAATTTGTGGAAACTGCTATAAGAGTCATATTTGAGAGAGGAGAAATGTTCTATCTGGTCATTTAGTACTGAGGACACCATTATGAGTCCAGTTTAAGGGTATGGACAAATGGCCAATAAGATCGTTTGGACTAAAGGACTTATGGAACTGAGCAGGTGTTTTATTGCAAAAGGCCAGATTGAATTAAGTGAGAAGAGGCAGACATGACATGTCACTGGGTCCTGGATTGTAGCTTTCAGGCATTCATTAACATTAACATACGACTTTTAACGTGATTGTCAAGTCTTATGAGGATGTGCCACTTTTTGTTCGTCTAAAATTATAGCAAATAGATAAAACAAACATAATATTACTGTTTACTCCAGCATGTAAAAGCTGGGACAAGATCCTTTAACCTCAGAACTCTAATCATTATTTTATTTCAAATTCAGTGAGCAGAAGTGCGGAGCAAAAATAAAAAAAAAAGGACAACTCTATTGCCTCTGTTCCTATTGACTGCACGGTCCTTTTATCTCCTCTGCAGATTCCCAGTGACTTGGCATATTTTCACACCAGGTGGTGAGGTTCCAGAATTTACTTAACACTTGGCATATGACATTTTGATGCATGAACAACAGCCTAATTGCAGCATCAGAGCACATGAAGAATTAGAAGTCATTACCCATTCAATCAATTCTCACAGTTTCTGCAGAACTGAGCATTATAATACATCACATTCTCAGACTGCAAAATGCCTCATAAATGTGTTTAAAACTAAATTACCAGGAGGGAACTTAACAAATCTGGTCTGTTTTTTTTTTTTTTTTTTTTCTGACTTCCATAATCAAGCGTTGCCAATATTGATCCTGCAGTAGAAAATAAACAGTAACTGAAAGCTTATCCATGTCGCAAATGAACCATAGGTCTCTGAGGCAGTGGAGCTTACGCTCTTATCAGAAAAAAAAAGCAGCTAACAATGAGATGACGCTGTCAAGCAGCTGCTCTTCAAACAGGAGCTGATAGCTTTGTTTGCAAGAAGTCGGGGCTAAACGCTCAGTCCCCTTTATGCTAATCCGAACAAGTTCAACACGGAACATTTATCACTGGGTCCTAATTGTGCTTTATTGAATTAAATGTAGTTGAACAGACACGATGTGAGAGGAGTGTATACAAAGTATGATTAATATATCTTTGGGGATGTATCATTATCGCACCTTAGACTCTGCTATTATTATCTGACGGCATATTAAGACAGATTGCACACAACGCTTAGCAAGCCCTCATCCATTAACGTTAAGTGATAATAACTGATGGTTATTCTCTAAAGTAACCCAAAAACGAATCCAATTTGTTTCTAAAGATCTGGAAGTGCTATGTACTAAATGAATACGGATAAGTCTTATAATTCAAGAGCAAAAGGTTAATTTCCCACTAAGTGCTGATCTGACTTTGACATTTGAAACAGGCTCGTTACTTTTAACGAAATCCTTCTCACCATGGACCGAGTTCAGCCGTAAAACAATGCGGGACTTTTATTTGCACTTTTGAAACCGGCATCTGAAGAAACTCCCAGTTTTATTTGTTTCAAACCAACTTTGGTAGAATATTCAGTGTTAATATTTAAAGTAAATTACTAAAAGACATTTTAATTATGACACTCATTAACACTACCTTGTCCCTATTGACCTAATCCTTCATTTTTGTGTATAACTCCAGGCAGGATTATGGGCCTTCTTTATGGGCACACATTACATTTTTAAATCTGGAGGCAGCAATTTGGTCCTTATTGATTACCTGTTTTGACAGTTTGCCACCCTAATGAAAAGGGGCTACGGGCTTGTAAATTGTAGGTGCTGATAGGGCTGTGGTTGTCGAGGCCACGCGTCCAAGACAAAGTGGCTGTGGTGTCTGTGATCTCCTCTACGATCACCACTCCAGGGGGTCCAGGAGGACCTGGCAGGGGAATAATTAGAAGACACAGATTAAATTAGCCTACAGCTGTGGACATCTGATGTAAAATTGCTTCCAGAAAAACAAAATAAACTGTTCTAATGTGTATAAGAAGAAGTAAAAAAAACAAAACAACATTATGTGGTAGTCTTTCTTGTATTTCAATTCAGCTGAACATGTGTTTACTTCAGACCTCAGAGCAGAATGCAATCTGTAAGTGCAACAAACATCGAAGGACTCCGGGGTGAACAGCTGTAAAAGAAAAGCTGGCAGGTGAGATCCTCCGTAAAACTCAGTGTACTGTGTCCCTAATAGGCTTCTGTAAGACGGTTGTAAAGAAAGTGGCATTTGCATTCTCTGATCCAGACATACTGTACTGTGTATGGCTTGACTACGGGAACAATGTCATCGATGAAAGTTCCAAGTGGAAAGCTGTAGTACTTCATTAACTGCTGTGCTACCATTTTAGCACATAAACTTTTCAGCCGGCGCTAATTTATTTAAACATATAGAATATTTAATACAGCTTAATGAATGAGAGTAAATGAGTACTCCACCATACTCAGCACAGTATTGTGCAGCTTAAAAGTAAAATTCGTCTGGCTGAAAACATTTGCTCAAGTGTTTTTCTATTGGTGCAATTTAGAAATGCCTTGTTTTAATAGTATTTATTTTCAACAGTATTTATTGTTTGCATTTGTATTGTACACTTTTAAGTTCATGGTGGACAGTAATTATGTGTTTAAAATATTCTTCTAGTTTCTTTAATTTCAAGTTTTTGAATAACATATTCAAAGAAACGTTGGGTGTCTATGATGGACCAAATTGATTGGTGAAACTCTGTCTTACTATGGCTGACTTTCATTCCTTTTTGTTTCAAGTGCATACCGCCACCTCTCCAAGTTCTCTTCCACCTGTTCCCTGTTTTCACCACAGATCACAATGTCATCTGCAAACATCATAGTCCTTGGGGATTCCTGCCTGACCTCATCGGTTAGTCGGTTCATCACCAGAGCAAACAAGAAGGGGCTCAAGACAGATCCTTGATGCCAGTTGCATTAAACATATTTATCAGGGATGATCCGATCAGGTTTTTTGCTGCCGAGCACCGAAACAATCACCCATGGTGCCGATCACAGATACCGATCACTGATACTGATCATATGGATTGGTTGTATTTGTTTTTTTAATTTAGTTAAGATAAGTGCTACTTGCTATGTGATCTGGAAAATAGGAACCATAAAATCACCTTAATTTGGAGAAAAAACATGTTTTAATTTACTTTTCCAATTTACTTGCAGACACAATACAGCAACTAATCAGTCAAAAGGACAACTGAAAACAATGTATCTGCTATCAGTAACATAATCTTTAACATATTGAAAACATTAAGGCTCTAACAGGCTAAATAGTTCAGAAAGTCAAATAAATCTCAAAACATTGCTTAAATACAGTATATAAACTACTTGATCTCTGCAGGCTGCAAAGGTGATCGCTTTTTGTGATTGGCAGTGAAAGCCATTGATCGGTATCAGCCAGTCACATACTTTTTAATTGAAATCATTCGATCATGATCAGTAACCAATCGATTGGAACATCTCTAATATTTATATTACAATATTTAAATGGCTTCAGCCTAACAACAGTTTTACTAAACCAGCAGATTTTATTGACAATGACTTGAATGTTTTGACAATAGCCCAAATTATTTTTGTTCCTAACTTTACGTTACCTTTAACTAAACTTTATACAAAAAAAATGTCTTATTTCCTTTAAACAAAGGCTGATTAATATAACAAACTAAAATATTGGAGATTATTGTTTAATATGGTGACAATATCAGTTGTAATGAACCCACATTTTTGTTACTTTCTGTTCAATCATCACTTTCATCTTAACCGGGTGAGGTCATCAAGGTCATTGAGAGGCTGTTGGTTGACATTAGAATGCAGACCATGGATGTGTGGTACTTAAAATATAATAGCTTATGATTTGTTGTAGTCCAAGCAGTCCTCTGCACTTTGACACTGTGACGACAATAAACTTTAGATAAATTGTGCAGCCCTACTCTAAATTCGCCTAAGGTTTCTGAATGACTTACATAAAATCAATGAATGACCTAATAGCTTGGTACTTGGTACTTTCAGTCAAACATGGACGTTAGTGCTTTGAGCAAAATGTTCTGAGCTCAAACCCTGACTGGTCAGACTATGACCCCAAAAATGTAACTTACCAATTTTTTTTGCGTTTTCTCTCTTTTCACATTGTTTTCATGAGCAATAGCCAAAACAGTAGGATTAAACTGGTGTCCAGCATGCTATATGTAAAAACAAAGTAGAACTGAACTAAACATATTTGGATGAATGTTCTTTATAAATGTTTTTGTCATCAGAAAAAAAAAAAAAGGTACCCCTTTACAATAAGGCTCCCCTATAGATGGCTAATAAATAGTGTATAGATCTGTTATTAATTCCTCTATAAACACTGTATAACTCATTAGTTACTGCTTATTGTGCATTAAGGGTGACAGAGCAGTTTCTTTCCAAATAGTGAGCCAAATCTGTTCACCTTTATATTTCATCTAGAGTTGTTATATGAAACATTTCAGACTAACAACTTTAGCATATAATATTGTACTTTATCACTGCATTTTAAGTATCTACAACTAATGTTATAGCCTAAAAAAATAGGTTTACAAATCCTTATTGTGCTTACAAAGTAGTATCTTAGTCTGAAATGTTTAATATAACAACTCTAGATGAAATATAAAGGTGAGCAGATTTGGATCACTATTTGGCAAGAAACTGGTCAGTTTTGTCTCTATTACCCTTAATTAATGCATAATAAACAATCATTAATGATTTATAAAGTGTTTATAGAATAATTAATATAATATATATATAAACTATGTATTAGCCATCTATAAGGGGAGCCTTATTGTAAAGTGGTACCAAAAAAAAAAAAAAATGCTTGTGGCTATGAAGCATGGGTCCATTGTTATTCATAAAGTAATGAAGAGCCTGAAAACTTGTCACTGAGATAAGAAGAGAGTCAAAACCAGACCTGCATGGACAATAATCATTACGTAACATTACATTTAGAGAAGAAAGGACATTTTATCACTAGACAGTGGAGAAAGTCTATTTAAAAGTGAATATTAAAATTATTCATGCAGACAGTCTGTTGAGCACGTTCACAGTGAGGATAGTAAAATGTTCTCAAAAGGGGGTTTGAAATGTGGTGGGCATCAATCCTCTCTCTCCTTGAATGTTTGATTTTTTTGTGAATTGAAAACAGCCCACTGTTTTTATGGGTCTGATGAAAATAAAGGTTGAAACCATTGCTCAGGAGCCTAAATATACACTCAGCTTGTATTCTTCTTGAACTGAAGTCTCCTAAAGCAGCTGTGCATGAGAATGAGCCAATCATGTTTCAGGGACACTGGTCACTGGGAGTGGGGGTGGGGGTGTATTTGGGTATCTGGTGAGGAGTGAACAGAACAGTTACTGCTGCACTGAAAGATATCGGGCTTACCTCGCACAAGGAGCTCTGCTTCTGCAAACACAGTGTCGGCACTGGTCTGGGCTTTGCATCCATACTTCCCAGCATGCCTCAACAGAATGCTCCTAATCATCAGATCCACCGTCGAGGACTGCTGCAGTTGAGAAAAGGAAAGCATTAAAAAAAACGGAAGGCATCCGGCAAGCCTAAATGAGCATGACACAAGAAGTGTGATTCCATTACAACTTGTAGAGGCTCATGCGGCTTGAGAAATTCCTGTTTAATTCAGGTGCTTGCGTGGCGTTACATTCTTCAGCTACTGGTATTTTCTGTCTGCTGAAATGAGAAAGGCCTGAGGCAAGACTGGGAATAATCCAAGGTCTACAGGCAGCTGTTTAGCACGAAACCTGATTAAAATTACAAGCCACGCTTCAGCCCGGTCTGTGTTTGCCTGTGAAGGATTGTCACTGCAAATACTTCCTCTCTAGAGCGCTGTTGTGGCGCAGGACACCTCGGGAAAAACGTGATTTTAGCAACCGTTGTTGACAAAAATAAATAAATTTATTAATTACTTTAATTGACGACATAAACAAGGCTTGTTGCTCTGGTGCTAATGTGCATCTAATCTTTTTTTAAACCCTGGTTTATTTGTCAAACGTGTTTTATGGTAAATAAAAAAAGAAACAAAAAAAAACTCTATTTTCTGTGGCATTCAAACAGTTGTTTAAACAAAACTTATATCAGTGTTAAAATATTAGCCAAACCACCTCAAACGTACGGTGGCACTAAGGTGCAAATGAAAAACATTTGAAACAATGGAATTAAATTTGATAAAACAACAACAAAACCACAACAATATTTGGAAAAAAAACGTAATTACATTTGAAAAAAGTAATTAAAGTAAGTAAAGTGACCGGAATCACATTAGAAAAAACAGAATGACATTTGAAAAAAATGGAATAACATTAAGCCAAACAGAAAGTTTTTTTTATTTTTATATATTTTTTTACTAACAGCATAAAACCGAACATAGAATATACAGTAAAGGGTAAATGGACTGTACTTATATAGCGCCTTTCTATCTTATTTCAAGATACTTAAAGTGCTTTACACTACAATCTGTGTCCTCATGGACTCATTCATACAGCACTCTACTAGATCTCTACAAAGTTAATTAAACAAAACATTCTTAAGAGACTAATCAGAGCTTTAGATCACATTCATACACTGATGGGACACACATCAGAGGCTATGAGGGGTTCAATGTCTTGCCCGGGGACTCTTCAGCATGTGACTGCTGGTGGATTTGAACCTCAACTCTTGCACTGGACAACGACTGCTCTAACCACTCAGCCACAGCCGCCCCGTACAGTACACACACAATGGAGATACAGTTAAAAGGATAGTCTGCTAACTGTATCTCCGTTGTGTGTGTACTGTATATTGTTCTGTTGTTCGGTTTTATGCTGTTAATAAAATGAAAAAAAAAAAAAAACTTCCTGTTTGGCTTAATATAATTCCGTTTTTCTAATGTGATTCCAGCCACTTCCTCTTTGGCCACTTCTGCTTTGGCTTGATGTAATTCCGTTTTTTCAAATGTAATTCCATTTTTTTCAAATGTAAATCTGTTTTTTTCAAATGTTGTTCATTTACAACTTAGGGCCACCGTACACACTAGTGATTACAATGTAATTTAAAGCTGATAAATAACAAAAATGACAGATAATTAATACAAATTACATATTTATTTTTCATTCAACAATTTAATGCTGTTTTCAATTAAATTAAAGTGAGATATCAATTCAATGTATTTAAATTTATTGTTGTTATTTTTTTTTATTGTGTTGACCTTTTTATGTGGATTTTATAACAATAGTTTCTTACTTACGTTACAGATTAAGGTAAAAAAAAGCCCCGAAGTGTAAGTTTTAATGGAGCCACGGCTTTATTAGGCTTTCAAAAATCATTTCCAATATATGAAGGTAGACACAGTTCTGTGTTTTCATTTTCAGTTCAATAAACACACTGTACAAAGAATAATAGTGTGCACAATTTCTTTCTTCAATTATTATTTTAACCTAACAATGTGTTGCTGTCACATCACGCACATCTCAAATCATAGTTTCACCATATTTTTAGACATCTCTAAATCTTATGAAGTACATTGTTACAAAAACTATTCTGCCAAACATTTAAACTGTGAGTCATCAAGTTGACATTATGAATGACATCACCACAACATATTTTGGACTATATGACGATGCAATGATCTGCATCACTATACGGAGAAGAAGTGGTAGCCTTATGTCCCCCGTTGCTGAAAGATTTAAAAAGTGAATGTTTGTAGATTTCAAGCTTTTCTGGACTGGAACTGAACAGAGAATGCAAATAAACCTTAATGTTTTTGGTGCAAGATTTTCAAGTGGGTTCAACTGCGGAAGAAAATGGGTATCTTTTTTTTTTTTTTCTTGTTTGAGGGGGTGCCAAGTGGCTGACCCTTAAAACAAAAGTGAGTAATTTTATCCCCAACCAGATGCAATGGAGAATGGTGGCCTCGACCATCATAGGTAAATCTTTAGCCCCTGCACTGGCTATACAAATCATTAGAGGAAACTATGCTTTCAAGCAATATGAAAACTAGAAAGCATAGTTTCCTCAATGGAGATGGCCATCTTGGATTTTGACGTGACAACCCACTTTTCATCAGGAACCTTTCTTACACATACTCACCCACCGACAGAAATAAGTCGTTATAAATATATATGGACTGTACTTATATAGCACCTTCCTATCTTATCAAGATACTTAAAGTGCTTTCCACAACAATCTGTGTCCTCATATACCCATTCATACAGCACTCTACTAGATCTATACAAAGACTAATCAGAGCTTTATCACATTCATACACCAATGGGACACCAATGACTGTTGGTGGAATCAAACCCCCAACATTCCCATTGGAGGATGACTGCTCTATCCACTCAGCCACAGCTGCCCCATATATATTATATTACCGTATATATGTATGAATGACATAATTAATGTACTTCCAAAAATGGACATAAATCAAACAAAATAATAATAATCAATAAAAAATAAAAATAAAAACAGGAAAACAACACTGCAAATGCCCGCTCAGCGTTCACAGATAAAAGCAGAAATAAATCACCCAACCTGTAGCATTTTAATGAGTGTATGTTCAGAAAAAACAGATTTATTGATGAAAAGACAACTGAATATATAAAGTGACTTAGGAATGTTTTGGCTCTTACTCTTGCTCTTACTGTTTGGATGTATTCAAAGTGGTTGCCGTCTTGTTGAAAGTTGATTGGTTTCTGGTTGAAGAACCACTGGAAAGCCACATCCAGCGAAGTGTCGTGTGTCGCTTTGCAGCTCAGCACTACGCTCTCCCCCACGGTCACCTCCACTCTGCTCGGGCTCAGAACCACACGCATGGCCTCTGGAAGCACAAAACTGCTGCACTGTCACCTCAGGCTTACCCAAAACTAGTGTCAAGCAGCTATATGACTGCAACATCAGTGCCAGAGCAGTGATCAGAAGCCTGTTTAAACCTTGGCAAAACAAAAAAAAAAAAAGCCATTTTGAGATTTTAGTTAGCGCTGATTTGGTCTGTGCACAGTGCATATCTGTGATGGACTGTTAAAGTTTGCCCTTGTAATATGATTCTTGAATGTGAAAACCCTTCTTCACGGATGATCAAGCACAATAAATTTCCTGGCACCCAAGAAATGGTGGGGGGTAAAATGACATTGGGGACTGTTTACTGGAGGCTGACTTGTGCTAATTTGGCAGAAAATAAAGGCCTCCAGGGCATCACTTACCTTTTACCCACAGTATGGCAGTCATCTCTGCCGAGCCCAGCTGATTCTCCGCCCGGCACACGTAGTTTCCTTCATCTGCTCGGCTGGAGTTAACAATTTTCAAAGTGTTGTTTCGTAATAACATAATCCTGTAATAAAAGAACAAAAAAATCAATACTAGTATGAGAATGAAAGTCCCATACCGAGTTGAAGCACAACTTCAGGAATACCGTCACCTGCTTAGTTGTGTAGCGTTAAGAAATAACAATATTCACTAAGAATAAAAAAATAAATAAAAATTTTAACATATTTTTTTTGTATAACTCAGCAACATTTCCTGCAGGTAACAAGACGCAAAGGGCAAAAGAAAAAAACATTTAACCCTCCTGCTGCCCTTGGGTCAAAAAGACCCACAAAGACCGTGTTCAGAATAAGGGCTTGTAGGTCAATTTGACCCACGGGCAGCAGGGAGGTTAAAATGTTGAAACTTTGATATATTTCAGGTGTCTTTCAAAGAGGAAACAGAAAAATAAAACATCTACTTTCATCGCTGTACAGTTTTATTTACTTTGTTTAAATTCAAGTATATGTATTTTTTTCCTCATTTCAGCTAATTGCAGGAGTTTGGGAACATATGTGTAAACTACTATTCTACTGTAATCTGCATAACAATTGGCTTGCAGATCAAAACTGGTATATAAGGATGGACCTTCAGGTGCAAACTGATACTTTGTTAGCAAAATATCCCATTCATGTCCCAATCCAATAATTTTCTCAAACACGTGTTTTTGATGTCTGTCGATCTGGATACAAAATGCCAAGTGCAATTAAGGAACTAAATCTCTGGACCTGGGCTGTTTTTGTTCAAATGCAGAGGACACAGAAAACAGTCAATTGACAAACAAGACCAAAGTGGGGGACAACCTTGCAGCATGAACAGCCATTTTCTATTATAGTTTGAGCACAATTTTTCCACAAATTGGGTCTTAAAACCCAGACTTCTCTGTGGCCATCCTAAACACACCTTACAGACACACAATTTGCCAAACTATTGTGTGTGGGGGGATCACGTCAGCTTTCAGCAAGCCAACATTGTTAAGAAATGATTTACTGTGCACAAAATGATATCAGTAGAGAGCTTACCCCCATTCGCTGAATCTCGGAGAAATTATATTTTCAGTGTGAAAGTGAAAAACATATAATCATGGGCCACAAAAATAGACCTCTGTTAGACGTCTGACTGTTGCTTGTAAAAACATCACAGGTAATTATTGTACAAGGTTGTTGTGCATCCAAGATAAAAATTCCCCGGGGTATCCGAAAGAAAAACACCAGATGTGCTGACAAAAAAACAAAAACAAAAAAACTCTGGCTAAAAAAGAGTAACTGGTTGTCCAATAAGGAGATGATAACTTGTTTGACATTCTGTAGAATGGACCTACATTTCCCCATGACAAAAAAAAAAAAAATAGATTTATGTTCTGCAATTTTTCTCTTCACTGCACATGACTTAGCATGGATCAGAAGGAATTTTTGGTCTCCAGGAGAACTAATGCATTACTACACAAATACATGTGTTTTTTTTTTTTTTTCTACTGTGTGTCTGTGCACCGTTTTTTTACAGAATCAAACTTCTGTCATGTATTTGAAAAATGCCTCAGTGTGATACACAAGAGCAGAGGTATTTTCTTCAAGCAAAAGTTGAACAAGAAATTGTATTCAGATCTGCAGGGTTGACCTGTTATTTAACATTGTTATTTAACTATCAACAATGGTGTACCACAAGGCTCTGTCTTGGGACCCACCCTCTTCACAATCTACAGTACATAGGTAATGTAGGTCAGTGCATCCCTGATGCATCCTTACATTTCTATGCTGATGACACAGTTCAGTTGTTTGTCAATATAAAACAGTTGCTAAGGTTTTCCAGCTTTTGCAATCCGCTTTCGACATGATCCAGTCAGATTTGTTCCATCTCAAACTTGTCCTAAATGCTGACTAAACCAAAAGGATGCTTTTTTCAAACAGGAATTTGGTCCCAGCATTTCTTCCTTTGACTTTATCCTTGAATGGTTCTCCTATTGAGTTTGTTGAGTCCTACACATATTTGGGTATCTTGAGCGATTCACATCTCTCTTTTAAGCTCCATGTGGAAAACCTAGTAAGGAAACTGAAAGTTAAATTGTTTTTTTTTTTCAGAAATAGGTCCTGTCCAACTCTGATGGCTAGGAAATGCCTTGTAAGTGCGACTTTCCTTCCCTCCATTGACTACGGTTATATTATTTACATGAACGTCCCTACAAGAACCTGGCAGATGTTGGATGCTGTCTATCATGGTGTGCTAAGATTCATAACTGGCTGTAAGTACCGTACCCACCATTGCACCCTATTCACTGGTTAACTGGACATCATTAACTTCACGCAGACTCGCTCACTGGTACATTTTCATCTTTAAATCACTTCTCAGTCTGTTATCTTCATATATCTCCTCCTACATGTCTCTGCGCGAGTGCAGCTACAGCGTGCACCCTCAGGACATTATTACATGCAGTGTTCCCTCAGTGCGGACTGAACTTGGCAAAAGGGCCTTCTTACTCCACTCCTGTTTCCTGGAATAGCTTGCAAAAAGATCTGAAGATCTTGACCTTGACCTCTCTAAGTGGCTTCAAACATCCACTAGGTTCCTGGCATAAACCAATGCAGACATGTTCTGGTTTTTAGTTTTCTACACCGCCTTACAATATAGCTGTTTTTTTTGTTATATTTTCTTTTAAACACCATTTTATTTTCATTAAAAAAAATAATTCTCAATTTATACGCATCCTTTATGATTGTCTATTATTGTCTTTGTTGTGTACTGTTGTCATCACTCCTTGGTAAAATAAGGTCTCTCTTGTAAATGAGTCCTCAAGGCTGAGTGGGATTAACCTGTATAGATAAAGGTTGAATGAATGAATGACTGCCAAAGAAAAGAAAAAAAAAAGAATAAGAATAAACCTTGACCAAATTAATTTGCATAATGGCTACACAACTTTGTGCAAATGGTCAGAAACTATAATCAGATTTTGTATAATGACATTCAAGGCTTAAAGAAATTGTTTTGTTGGCAAGCAACTGAATTTTGGTGTCCCATAATTCCCTTGTGTGCAATCCACTCAGTTTCAAGAACATCCAACCTGTAAGAAACTAACAGATTTGATTTTCAAATTCCATTAAGTAGCTCCAACGTGAACAGAGGTGAACACAGATGCTTTTAAACGAAACAGTTTAATGTAATGAGGGCAAGCTCAGTGGCTCAAAAAATGCCACGAGGTGCCATTGGGTTTTCATGCACAGCATAGCGACACAAATTCCTTTAAATTTTAGTGTTCGAAAGACAAAGCTGTGCCACATCCGATCTTGTGCCTTTCAAAGATCACAATAGACTGCAATTTGAATAATTACAGTATAATTTAAAATTCATCAAAGGACATTTTCAGCACAACATTTCAGGAGAACGCTACACAATGGGAAATAAAATAGTTGTTAGGATTCTTTGTTCCTCTGCGTCAACATTTGCATAAATCTAAATAAACAGGCTTTCATCTTTGCGTAGCGCCCATGAATCTACCTGATGGAGCCTAAGTGTTGCCGCATTCAATGAGTTTAAAGGGAAAACTGTCAAACTCTGATGCGCACATGATCAAGCAGTTCTCCAAGGAAGCACGAGTGTAACAGAGAAGAAAAACAAACTTACAAACACCACTTTGCATTCATAAGTAGACCCTTATCCAACTGAAGGACACAAACAAGAGTAACATTTGGCTCTGTGTTGTAACAGCAGGGGAATGAAGTGTTTGACATAAGATAGAATGAATGTAGCTATAATCAACAAGCCCACTCACAAGTGGAAGAGCAGTTGTGTACATAATACGAATCAAATAGTAATGTGTTTAAACAAGTACTAAAATCTTGTTATTTCTCTACTTTACATTAAAAAAAAACAATTTATTCAAAATGTATATATTTCAGTTTAGATTTTATTGGCTTGTTAAACTTTGACAAAATTCATCAACTGAAAAGCTGAATTCTTATCCTTACAAAATTGCTATCGATTTATCTCTGACTTAGTTCAAATTGTTATGGCATTAAGATATAACGAAATGTCTTCAGAGCTGACCTTATTAGGAGTAACAAAAGTATGTTTTTCCCATTATAATATTAGGTCATAATGTCCTCCAACATTTTTTTAAAGCTTTTTTTTAAAATACATTGTTCTACAGCCTTTAGTGAGGCTGATTCCATCACTTGGAATTTTCTGCTTGACATTTATTTGTAATAAGTGATTAAAACAACAACAACAACAACAACAACAACAACAACAAGCTTGGATTCTCTGTCTCACACAACACAAATCAGACCTTCCAATATAAATGTTCTTCCAATTCATGTGTTCTTTTTCAGCCCTTCCAATATCTGGGGTTCCTCAGGGATGTGTTTTAGGTCCTCTGCTATGCAGTTTGTATGTTTACTTTGTAGTCAATTTTAGTAACAAAGACATTTTATTATAGGGCTTTGCTGATGACATCAAGGCTCGTTTGAATATTACCATACTTTTTGTCGTATAAGTTGCACCCTTTTGCATAAATTTTCATGTCCTGCGACTTATATAGCAAAGCAATGTATTTACATTTTTTTCTCTATATTTGTAACCCAATTTTTGGCCGAGATCTGATGATTTCATTCATTCTGACATGGAAAATACAGAACACTACAATTTTCAGCCGCTAGAGGGCCCTCGACTAATATGTCAAGCCAAGTGTCCCATTAATAGGTAAAATTGGCTATTGATGAGACACTTGGCTTGCCATATAAAACCACCATCTCACCCCGGAACTCCTGGAGCAAACATCAAATCAGCTGCATTTCGCCATGATACCCAGGCGAAATGCGGCTGATTTGACCAATATAGTGCATTTATTAAGAAAAGTTTAAACTGAGACACACCTTTGCTATAATTTTGAGCAAACAAATAATTGTTTTCAAGTGTTAATATTGTTAAATTGTTGTTAAAGTCCTCCCATGCATGCTCCTGCGACTGCCATTTGGCAGCCAATCGATTTTTGACAACACCGGTCCACGTTTCCAGGTGGTCAGCGGTGACGCATAATAGATGCAACTTATACGGCAAAACGACTTGTGGTTTTTTTTTCCCATTGTATTAGACATATTCAGACTGATGCAAGTACGGTAAGTTAGAAAGCATCAATAAACTGAAACAACTACCGAACTGTCAAAGTAATATTAAAACTGGATGCATTTCTTGATTTCAGTGAATGTGAAACTAAAGGAGTTTGGTTTGAACATCTTATTTAATTCACAAGTTCTGTTTGGGTTCTTTAGCCCTATAAAAGTCTCACTGCTGTCAAGAACCCACTTGTGATTTCTCAGGGTTATTGCAAAGATAAAGACCTCTTTCATATAAGATGTGAAAAAAAAAACTATTTGTTTTCACCACTTCTTGTTGAGCTTTGCATGTTAGTTTAGACCTGTCTTCTCTGTAATATTTAGACATAGTTCAGAATGCAGGGCCTTAAACACAAAGCTTGGCATTTCTTATCTTGCTTTGTGTATATTTTTGAACTATTCTAAGATTGTATTGTTTGCTCATGATGCTTTAAATGGTCTGGCCACATCACATTTAACTGATCTACCCAACATCAGTAAGAGCCTCTCAAATGCCCCACTTCCACTACATGACCTAATCTCTTTTACCTCGTTACTTATTTACCTTGGACCATTTCGTTCATCCATGAATCTAAATTAAAAGATAAAGATTACTGAGCTTTGTTCTGTCTCAAATCTATGGAATAATTACTTCTACATGTGTGCACTTCTATAACTGCAAATATATTAAAATATCTGCTTAAGACTCATCCTTTTCATTTTAAAAGGTGTTTAATAAATAAATTAACCTCTGACATTTGACACATTCACCATTATGTTACTATATAGGTTTAATTTTTATCGTAATCATTGGACGGTGAGCAGTGACCGGTGATTGGGGGAAACGTGGGATGACAGCGTGGGATAAGTTATACAATCTGATAGAAATCAGACATCAGGTTATAGGCACCTGAGGCGCTTTCACGAATTCTGTTTAATCAAGAAATCAATTTCATTCAACATCAACAATGAAAATAATAAAGAGTCCACGATTCTCCTGATTTAATTCATATTGTTTGGCATTTATATGTACAATGTTGAGCTCTTTTATCACCTGCACGGTGATTGAAAATGGCAATGAGAAAGTCACGTGGGCGTGACAAAATCTACCTACACGTAGACAGTTCAGCAGCCACCCAGAGCCAGGAGACATTTTTCAAATTAGGGAGGAATTCACATCCGACAAGGACACTGAGGCAGAAAGGACAAGATAGGGACTGCTGGGTATACAGAATATGTAAATCCATTCAACCTGAGGAGATCTAGAAGGAAACAGTGAAATATCACAGAAAAAGCTTTAACTTGCTGAGGTGAAATCAAACAAACTGCAAAAATCGTTATTTATTTGCTAAATCTGTAAACTGGAACACGTTTAAAAATTCAACAGTTCTAATAAGGAATTGCCAAACTACTATTACTTTGTCTGTTTTAAATGAGTCTGTCATGTACTTTAAAACTAATGGTGTTAATGCTTCCTATTTGAGACACAAAAGCCCTGAACATTACTGGAAATCCATGTTAATTACAAACCTTCATTAAGTCAGCACAGCTGTCAATGCCAGATAAACGTGAAGCAGCTTCGATTCCCCTTGTTCCTTCAAGAATACGACACCTCTCATAGTCTCATAGACGTTTCTATAGATAATGTCAGAAAATCCTTGAAGAAGTCACCCTGACTGGGACCTCAAAATGCACGACTCCTTTGTCTTTGTTTCAGCCATTTTCTGATTGCTATCACCTTTCACAAGGTTGATCTCTATTTACACAGTGACTCTCCTAAACACAGTGTCATCTAGTTCATTAAGGTACCCTTAAGTTGCAAACAACAGCCTGTTAAGGGTGCCAAATTTTGATTGGATCGCAGTTTCACATAAAAAAATAAATAAAAAAAGACTTTGTATAGCATCCAAGGTGTTTTTTTTTATGTTCCTCACTGAGAAATTATAGAAAAAAATGAACTGTATACTCTGGTATGCTAGTTCTTAAAAGTGAAAATGAACTGTACTGTGGTGAGAAATGAACTGATTATTTTATTAATTTCAATTTTCTGGCTCTCATATAAAAACAAACAAAAAAATAAATAAAAACGAAGTAATTATTTCAGATGAGACTTAGCAGTCTGATTATCAGGATGTGGCTCCTTTAAATAGTCAGCTACGTATCATTATGCTTCCAACAGGTGGGCTGAGGAGTATTTATTAGTTTGACATTTAAGGAGAGTATGAAAATATATATTTTGTTTGTCAATCAAAAATGCATCAGCATTCTTGTTATCTTATTATTATTTTCTTAAGTTAAATTTGTGCATCAATAAAATAAAAATAAAAACATCTGTACAAAAACCTTAGAGTATTCTTAGTTTGGCATCTTTCTTGGTTCATATCTTACATCTTACTAGTGTTTTTTGTTACAATTTATACTTTTGTTGGATGTAACTGGGACCTTGTTTACACAATTTCATTTCACCACATGCACCACATGTGGTGCGAACGACAAATAAAAAAACCTTAACCTTATAAATAGGTATGATTTTCTTCAGCTGTGTATGCCAGAAATTATATAAAACACATTTTTCAAAAGTCTGACAAATTTCTTAAAGGCTATTTGATCCAGATGTGCCAAAGCTGTTAATCATCTCTCAAGGGCAACACACACAGGTTTGTCTTGCTATCTTTATGTGGACTTTTCCTTGACTTCCATTCATTTTCCATTCATTTCTATAACCTAACACCAATCCTTACCCTAAACCTAACCGTTACACATGTAACCCTAAACCTAACCCACCAATGACACTTGAAACTTATGAGGGCTTTGGTCCCCACAAAGAGCAGTTGGTCCTCACAATGTGCTTTTACTTTGTTGGTTACAGAAGTCCTCACAATGTACTATGTGTTGAAAAATTATTCTCACAAAATAACAAACAAGGTACAGTTTATATAACCATGCATAAGTTTCACTTAAGAAAATCATAAAAAAGAAAACTGATGCTTTTTTGATTGAAAAATAAAATAACTATACATGTTCCACACTCTCCTTAAATGTCAAACTAATAAACAGTCCTCAGTCCACCTGTTGGAAGCACGACAAGATGTAGCTGCCTATTTAAAGGAGCCACACACTCTGAACAGCGGACTGCTAAGTCACATCTGATACGCAAACGTCCCATTCTCCTGCTCGAAACTCAAGATTCTCGGCTGTAAGTAATAATTTCATCTCCGTTGCTCCGTTTGATTGATGGGCCCTCTCCCCGCTCAGCCCCCTCCAGGTGCACTAGATGTTTCTCATAAAGGAAGATGCATCAAATGGCCATGTGAATTTCAAATGCAATTGCAGAGTCTAAATTGTCAGCATTCTATATCGGGAAGTGGGTTAAGTATGAGCCTCCAAAGCTTCACCGGTACCTATAGTGTTTTATTTTCAGAGTGACACTTAATTTCAGAAACAGTAATGAAATTGAGTTGTGCTGCAACAAGGCATGCATAGTCCCTCAAAGGCCTGGGTGAGAATGATAACACGGGGATTTATGTCATAAAACTATAACAAATAAAACAAAGACACTGCAGCAAACTTTTTAATGCTATGCCCATATTTTAAAGGGCAATTAAGCCTGTTAATGTTCCACTCTACACATTGTAAAAATCTAAATTCAATTTAATGTCGTATTGTAAATTTATGACAGCCTTCAAACATAGCATAAACCATTCATCCCATTAATACCAACATGTTTTCTTTAAACCAACCACCCTGTTAACTCTTTAAAAGTGTCATAAAGATTACCATATCATTCTTAATATTCCAGGAGCTGTTTAGCAAATATCCTAGTTATGTACTGGGCTAAAACAGTTTTTTTTAACAGTATTTGTTTTACTACTTATATATTCAGTCTTCAATTTCCCTGGTATATACAGTATTGTCAGTATCCCTACACAGAATGTACATTAAGCAGCATGGTGCCATGAATTCAGCCCTTGTTATTAGCGACTTAAAGGCATGACAATGTTAATATATGGACTCAGATGTTAGTCTTTGTGTGAGCTTACACAAGTCCTCCCACAGTGGCTTTGATCATCATCACAAGCTTCAAGATTTGCACAAGCTGCACACAGAAGGATAACCGTCTTTTTGTCTCCTGACCCAATCAGAGCGAAGAGTTTGGTTTCAGTATGAATCACTGAGATATTTTACCTTTTATTTGGCTGTATCCTTCTGTCTCCTCTCCTCCATGTTATCCGAGGTTTGGGTGATGCTCTCGGTTTGCATTCCAGAGACACGTCTTTTCCAAGCGTGGCTATGACCCGTACTGGATTGGTGACAAAGGCAGGCGCTGATGCTGGGTGGGACAAACACACAAGGTCTGAATGTGGATTACAAAAATGTTACGTTAAAATCAAAACACTTTTCTCATTATTAAATAAATTTAGGTATGACAATATACATGTTTAATAGAATAATTGGGGACAGCCTTGAAAGGCAGCTACCTATTATTATCCACCTGAAAACAATCTTGCTCTTCTATCAACTTTAATGCGACCAGAACTGCAAAATATACCCTCACAAATGTTATATCAAAACGACCAGCTAGGCACCGTGATGCGTGCTATTACTTTTGTTGACACTTCCAGTTACCATGGTGATGTAATTTGCAAGCAAAGAAGTCATGTTCGTCATTGAAAAACAATGACAGCCAACATTCACAGCCTCTAACGGCCACAGTGAGATCACATGACCAGGAGTGGAGAGGTCTCTGAACAAAACACTAACTTTTGGAGCCATTTTTGTTCAAGATGGCTGCCACAGCTACCTCAGAAAACTCAAAATTGACTATAACTCAGTCATTCTTTGAGATATTGAGCTGACATTTAGTAAGGTCGTATCTGAGAGCAAGTTGCTAAACATTCCTAATGCAAATAAAAAATCCAAGATGGCCACCTTAGCTAAAAGGGAAAAAAAAATACCTGACAGCGATGCATAGGGCATTCTGAATTCAAATCTAAAAATGCAAGATGGTTGCGAAAGCTAATTTCAATCGGATATAACTCAGCTGTTTTTAGAGCTATTTAGCTGAAATTTGGTGAATTTGTAGCTGAGAACAATCCCTATTAGACTCTGATTGCAAATTAGAAGTCCAAGATGGCCTCCTGAGCTAAGAAGGAAAAATCTTGTACAAAGTATACCTGTCATTTTTACAGATAGCTTATTAAGCTGACGTTTGGTATATTGGTAGCTGAGAGCAATGCCCAACACATAGTACTGTCAAATACAATTTTAAAATGGCCGGAACGTGACAGTTCCTGTCAAAGTTTTTCCAGAAACTTTCTAGTTCAACATTCCACTGTGTTATACAGTAATCCCTCGCTTATTGCAGGGGAACCGTACCCTGAATCCCCGTGATAAGTAAAAAAACGCAAAGTAGGAATAGTAGTACACGTAGTAAGTAGTAGTTTATTTTAGTTATTAACACACACACACACACACACACATATATACAT